ACTAGGAAAAGCAAAAGGAGGAGAGACCTGAGGAACCCTTATAATTTCACACGGTACTTTCATGTCCTTCCGAGCTTGCTGAGCGCCTTGATAGTTCATCCAGTCCTGATAGCCGTAAATGAAGGTAGTGGGGACTTTCCACTCTGATGCGCTGCAATACCAAAAACACCAGCAGATCCATCAACACATGAAAAACATGCCACGTTATGTGAAGCAGTCATCGCAAATATTATAGACATTATAATTCCAAGCATTTCATGAGATGAGTAGAGAGAGAGAGTAAATGCGCGCATTCAATTCACCTGGTCTTGCTCACAAGTAGTTACTGGTACACAGGAAGGTACATGAACATTAAATAAAGAAGACGTGCATACATATACACTAAAATATCACAGCATTTGGGATCTCTTTTATCTCCAAATAATGAGAGGACTGCAGTCTTCATAGTTTTGTGAATCTCCTTTATTATCACATCAGTGAGTGAACATATCAGGGTTAACTGGTATATGTGATGTGTGCTTTCTAAGAATGACATAATTGGTTGGTACTTGCGTATAGTTCCCAAAGATGAGAAAACGGTAATCTTCATAGAATTGGGCAACCCCCTATCACTTCACTGAATGAACTGTGGGGGTTGAACTCATATGTGTGATGTGTGCTTACAGAGGAAGACATAAGAGGTCAGAATTATCCAGAATTTGGTATTTACTTATCTGCCATCTATTGGTGTCCCACATTATGTGTTATAGCCTTTTTAGTGATGAAAAAATAATCACCAATAGATGGCAGATAAGTGTCCCACATTATGTGTGATGTGTGCTTACAGAGGAAGACATAAGAGGTCAGAATTATCCAGAATTTGGTATTTATTTATAGCTCCCAAGGATGAAAAGGCTGTAATATTCATAGAATTGTTACAACTCCTTGATCATTTCATGAGTGAAAATTTCGGGGTTGAACTCATTTATGTGAGGAGTGCTCACAGAGGATGACATAAGTGGCTAGATAGCATTTGGTGTATCTACATAGCTCCCAAGGATGAATAAGACCGTGATCTTTATAAATTTGTACCAACAATTTATCACTTCGCTTGGTGAACATACCAAGGTTACGCTCAAATATGTGATGTGTGCTTAGAAAGGATGACACAATTAATTCGACTCCAATCAGTCACTACCCATCAAGTACAGTCTGGTAGCGTCCAGTTGGCAAATCAACAAGAGTGCGGTACTTTGGTACGTACAAAACCCTAACATTAGCCTCTTGCTAGTTCTTTTTACGAAAAACCCTAATAAGTCTAAAAACATAAAATATAAATTTAACAGAAAATCTAATGAAATTTGAAGGGAAGCATCGTACTGAAATGAGCTTTAAATTTTGGGGTAAAGTGTTAAAGAAATACGTTGAGCTAATCAAAGTGAAAGAGATGAGTGAACTTCGAGGTTATAAAAGCGAAAATAAGCCTTATTATTAAAAGATGAAGAACTTCACTAATCCTTCCCTGGAGAGAAATGCAATACTTTGGAATGCAAAGTCAAACCTTTACTATATCAATTCTTTGTCAAACTGATATGCTAAAATTCATAACTGCAGAAGATATCTAATTAGCTGCTGAGGGGAAATATAGGCGGCTGGTACACTGTTACAGTCCAAAGCCCAATTAAAGCAATTTAGAATGTGTTATAGCCTTTTTAGTGATGGAAAAAATAATCACCAATAGATGGCAGATAAGTGTCCCACATTATGCATAATCAGATCATCTCAAGATAATCAAAAGCTCAACTTCGTCGACTCGACACGCCAACATCCTGCGAGGACGTCTCGAAAGGCGTCACTTGTTGATGACTCGAAAGGCGTTACGTGTCATCCCCTAGTTGAGTCAACTACTTAAGCACTCCATTCGGCCAACTCATCGGCCGACACCTTGCTAGGACGACTCGAAAGACGGTACTTCTCGACCACCAGACGACTAGAAAGGCGACGAAATGCCTCGAGCCTCTGGTGTGCACTGATTATCGATCACCTCGCCATAAATTTTATTAAATGCATTATGGGCGTCATCATTCATTTGCCTCCGATAGTATTTATGGCACATCGGACCACGTCGACGCTGCACACCCCACATCACTTCGCATTAAACCAAAGTGACCTCTCCTCCACTCCTCGGCTGATACCTGTAAAGTTAAAGCTGACTTGGCCACCAGCCCATGCCCGACCAAAGTTACCATCCTACCCTCCTACTATTATAAAAAGAGAGATTATTTTTCATTACAGGGTAAGCTGTTTCCACCATTCTCTGAACTTAAAAACTACTATAGTTCCTTTTACTTCTCCACACAAGGCACTCACTGACTTGATCATCGAAGGAACAACCGAGAAATCACACCCCGCCCTCTTACAATCTGTTACTTGTGCAGGAAAGTACAACTTGCCCAAAGACCAGACATTTGGAGAGATACCTCCGTCAACACAATTAACCCCTTTCATTTGACTGTGTGATTCCATATATCAACATAATGTATTTTCCTCTCAATCAAGGAAAATTAAGAACCATCCATATTATCAATGAAAAGTCCAGGTCGAGATGTATGGATCTGTCATCTGTCCTTCTCACTTTTTGTTCCTTGCCATTGCTAAGTGATGTATGGATGAAATCAGATCCCTTCTACTAGACTTCAAATAGAATCTCTTTGAAGGATGAGAAGCATTGGCGCATTGCTAATCTACGAGATAGTCTTTAACATTTGATAAAAGGAGTCAGATCATGTTCAAGTATTTACTACAGCACTCTTCAGAAAAGGACCATCCACACATGGACAAATAATGTAAGCAGAAAAATCTCCACATGTGATAACCTTTTTGTCTATGCACACCTCTGACATCCACAATACATAATCAAAACTTCCTGCTTTTTCTTTACAAATCTCTAATAACTTTTTCGAAGTCGAAGATGTCATGTTAACGTTAATGTCAACACTTGGATGTCCACTTTGTGTGGGCATATGATGGAATGCATATTCATTAAAAAAAATAGAGGCCCTCTGATGCTTTAAACTCTCTGCTACCCTTTGATTATAGTTGGATAAGAAAGATGCGTAGTGCATTCAAGTCCATCATTTCACTGTAGTACATCTATTTGCAAAAAACTGATCATCTAATTATAATGGAAACGGATACGTAAATGGGGGAAAAAGAGGCCTTTTATGAATCTCATATTCAGAAACTACGTCTGAGCACCGGTAAAGAAGCAGAATATTCAAGTTGACAAGACTCATGCGTTGTAAGAAGGACAAATTTTCAAAACCAACCTATTTACAAATTTAATCGCAGAAAACAACCTATTTCAGATTTAATTGTAAAAACCGACCTGGTTTCAGCCCTGGAGCTGAAACCAGGTCGGTTTTTGAAAATTTTTATCCGAAACTTCACGGGAGTTGAACTCCCGTGAAGTTTCGTAGTTCAAATTTTTTTTTTGTACTGGGAAACTTCACGGGAGTTCAACTCCCGTGAAGTTTCGAAAGTTTTTTCACAAAAACCGACCTGGTTTCAGCGCCAATGCTGAAACCAGGTCGGTTTTTGCAATTAAATTTGAAGTGGGTTGTTTTCTGCGATTAAATTTGTAAATAGGTTGGTTTTGAAAATTTGTCCGTTGTAAGAAGGAAGGTTCTCCTTAAACTTTTAGATAGCAATTTTAAGCGCTTGATTTGTTTGACAAAGAAAGAGTAGATGGGCACGCATGCAAAGGGAGCTTTTCTTAGTGAAATTATGGAACTTATCCGCAAAAGTATGTTTCACATACAAAAGCCTAATTTGAAAATCTAATTTCATCCACCCAGGTTGCATTGTTTAGATCATTCATTAAACATGTCATTGAAGGGCTATAACTTCTCATATGAGTTTCTCTCCGTTTTCCTAGACCTCCTGATGAGGACAAGAATTAACAATCTTCCATTTTAGCTTAGTTGACTTTTTTTTTCATTTTAATTTTTGAAATTTAAAATTTGAAATTTTAATTTTGAAATTTGAAATTTGGTTTAGTTTTGACATTTGAGTGATTTTAGGGAATTAGTTTAATTTGAGGATTTTTTTTGTTTGTTTTCATTTTATTGCATGTTGTGTGCACGTAGTTCTTTTTTTTATAAACCTTGCTGTAATCAGAAATGAGAGATGAATTATTGAATGAATGAAGATTGAATAAAAATTAAGTTAGCTATTTTGGTGTGAAACCTATGGGTGTGAAATCCTAGCCGACTTTTTTTTCCACTCCTCTGACATACAGTCGACAAACTTCTCTGCTCTCCCTCATCTTCCGACAATAGCACCGTCCCCTCCTACAAACGACGTCACTAAACCCCGTCTTTTCTCTTTCCCAGGTTAGCCGCCGGTTCCGCACCCTTCACCCCTTCATCATCAACCAACAGCCTTACCCTCTTCACAAACAGCCCGACACCCCAAGTTCCCTCCCTGCTCTCTTCTTTTCCGACTACCAGCGCCGCCTCCCCCCCTTCTCTGTTCTTCTCCCGACCACCAACCCTTACCTTCCCTCTTCCCTAAACAGCACCGCGCCCTACCTTCACCTCCTCCTCTTACCGTCACTGTTCTCCTGAGCCTCCTCCACCAACGCCGCCAAACGTCCCCCT